TTCCCACCCCTTCGCTCCCCTTCCCACCCCCGTTCCCCAAACCCCTTTCTCGCAGCGTTTCCACGCGGGGCGGGGCGGGGGGAAGACCCGCGGGGTGCTGAAGGGCCGCTGTGCCCCGCGGTGCCTTTTGCTGGCCCAGCCCTCCCTCGCCTCTCGCTGGCCACCTTCCTCCCTGCCAAGCGCAGCGCTTCCCCTCCCCTTCTTGGCGTTCTTCCTGCTTTTTTTGCCCCTTTTTTTGTCTGAGATGGGCAACATGGTGCTTAAAAGCGCTTGGGAAACGCGTAGCCCGAAGCTGCCAAGGTCCAACCAAGGTTCAGCCGCTCCCTGGAGCGGGCAGAGTGTGCCAGCCCGGCTTTTGCCCCCGCGCCCTGGACTTTGCCAGGGTGTTGGAGCAAAACGAATCGATTCGAAGCTCACCCTGCATGTCATCCCCCCTAGAAATTCCTTTTTCAGCAACTTTTTCATAGCAAGAAGTGGCAGTTGGCTGGGGGATATGTCCAGGCTTGGTTTCCGGCTCCGGCATCATCATGGATGGAGCAGGGGTGTGATGACAGTGCTGTGCCCGGGCGTGCAGAGCTTGGCAGGGAGCAGTTAGGCAATAACAACACGTGTTTTAAACTAGGATAAAACCCGCGTTACTGGGACCCTGGGGTAGGGGGGGAAGGAGGAAATCAGAGGGGGGTTCAGCATCTGTCTCGTTCCTCTCCCAGGCGGCGATGGCAGCACCGCTCAGCCATCGAGGTGACCAACGAGCCCATCCTCGAGTTTAAACCAGGGAGCCCCGAGCGAGCAGCTCTTCAGAAGGTACCACTGCAGGGGATCAGCCTTTTTTAGGGGGTCTTTAAGGTCCCAGTTTGTGTTTCTGGTTCTGCTTGGCAGCCACAGGCTGTTTCCCAGGGTGGGGGTCAGCCCTGTCCTGCCCAGTGCCTGCCCCATCCCCACAGCCCATGGGCACCCCGTGCCTGGGGGACCGAAGGAAGCCTGACCTCAGGTTCCCCTTTGCTCATGGGGCTGGTGGGGAGGAACTGGTGGAGCTCTGTGTGTGTAGCTCCCACCCTGGTGCTCTCCTCTCACTTAGGCACTCGCTGACCTGAAGGGCAAGACAGAAGCCATCCCCTGTGTGATAGGGGGAGAAGAGGTGTGGACACCGAATGTGAGGTACCAGCTCTCGGTGAGTTTGGGGGAAAACTTCTTCAGCAGGTGACAACAGAGCAGGGGGATGCAGCTGGCAGGAGAGAGGTCTGTCAAACTGATCACTGCAGAGGCTTTTCTTCTCTTTTCAGCCATTCAATCATGCACACAAGGTGGCCAAGTACTGCTATGCTGACAAGGTGAGCCCCCCTCACTGCCCTCCCTCTTCATTTTTTGGTGGGTGGGGGAAGCAGCAGCACTTTGCCTGGGTATAGGGAGCTGTATCTCACAGTGGGGGTGTGAGGCTTGTGGCATGATGCACTTTGAGATTGCTGGGTGAGAGTTCTGGAGGAATCACAAATCACAGCTCAGGTTGTGGGCAGGGAGGCTCCAGGGGCAGGTGTTGGCTTTCCAAGCCCCAGAGATCCTGGAACAAACCGGTAGCAGGAGCTGCAGGTGTGGGGTTGTGGTGGGAAGGTGGCTGCTGTGGTTTGTGCCTGGGGGCCCCTCGATCTGGTGAGGGAGAGGTGCTGGGTTCCTCCTTGCTGCCTCTCCCCTTTTCCTCCACAGGAGCTCATTAACAAAGCCATTAACGCTGCCTTGGCAGCAAGGAGGGAATGGGACCTGAAACCCATCCAGGACCGAGCCCAGATCTTCCTGAAGGCAGCTGACATGCTGAGTGGCCCGAGGCGAGCAGAAGTGCTGGCCAAAACCATGATTGGGCAGGTATGGGGGGGATGCAGGATTGCCCCGGGCAGCTGGGGGGACAGGGATGGAATTTTGGGAGCTGGGAGTCAGGGAAGCAGGGCAGGAAGAGACATTTTGTGCCACTGGGAGTGGCTGTGCTGTTAGAAGTGCCCCTAGCTGGGGGGATACAGCCTGATCTTCAGCTCTTTGCTGAGAAGGGGGGTGAGGCTGGGGGGCTGGTGTGGGGGGATACAATTATCGGGGTTCCCCCTTGCAGGGGTGGATGTGAACATCCCGTGGCACAGGCACAGGCTGCATCAGGTGCAGAGGAGAGGTGGTGGGATGGGGGCTGGCAGGAGGAACTTTGGGAAGCGATCTCATGCCCTGCATGAGAGAGGCAACCCACAAACCCCATCCGGGCGGGCCGGGCCGCCCCCCTGCGGCTCAGGGCTGCCACATCCCCCCCCCGAACCACCCTCCCCTCCCCGCTTTTACCGGCTGGGACCTCCCCCCGGGCAGGGTAAAACCGTCATCCAGGCGGAGATCGACGCCGCTGCCGAGCTGATCGACTTCTTCCGATTCAACGCCAAGTATGCCCTGGAGCTGGAGAACAGCCAGCCCATCAGCGTGGACATCAGCACCAACAGCATGGTCTACCGGGGGCTGGAGGTGAGGAGAAGGGCTGGGGCTCTCCCCCCTGTGAGGTTTCCCCCCCCGGGGAGGTTCCTGTGGGCTGGGTTTTGGGCTGCTCCCACCACTCCCTGTCCTCTCCCACCCCGCAGGGTTTCGTGGCTGCTGTCTCTCCCTTCAACTTCACAGCCATCGGTGGGAACCTGGCTGGAGCTCCAGCCCTGATGGTGAGTGTCTGGGGGGGTTTAAGGAGAGCCAGGGATGGAAAGGACAGTCTGGAGAAGGGCTTGGAGGAGGACATGCTCTCTCTGAGGCTGTGGTTTGCCTGGTCTGGGTCCACAAGGAGTGAATTGGGCCTCCCTGGTGCCCTTTGGTGGGACACACCTGAGCTCCTGCTTCTGCTGGTCCCCTTGAATTCAATCAGCACTCCTGCAATTAGTCTCAGATGTCTTTCATTACAAGAAGGGTGGATTTTAGCCCTGCCCACTGATGGGGGGGGAGTGTTGGAAAGGGAAGAACTCCCTAAACCTGCTCTTCTGGGGTTTTTATTCTGAAGCAAGGTGTCTTTTTATTCCTAGGGTGGGTTTTAGATCTGGAGAAGGTTTGGGTGCTGCAGGAGGGAGAGGAGAATCACAGAGGGGTTGTTCCCCTGCGTGGTGCTTGCTCTGTGAACAGGGCTTCAGGGAGCTGTCACATCATCAGCTTCCTATTGCCCAGGTCCCTCTTGGGTGGCACTTTTTTGGGTTCAGTGGGTGTGTGAGGGTGAAGGTAGGAGAGGTCATGGCCCTGGTGTTTAGTGCTGTGCTAGGAGACAGGAGATCCTGGCAGCTGTGAAAAGATGGTCCAAAAATTCCAATTATCAGTAAAGAGCATTTCTGTACACATCCCACTCTGATGTGCCTCTCAAGTCTGCCTTTGCAGGGTGGGTTTTGGGGAGAGACTGTAACAACCTGATGAATTTGGGCCAGGATTAATTCATTTATTCTTGCAAAAACCTAACAGAACAGCACAAAATTGTCATAAGCTCTTTACTGATTTGGTTCTTTCTGGCACCAAAGCCAACCCCTCCAGCTGTTGTGTGCTGTGCTGCAGGTGGAAGAGGCTGAGATTGGGCTAATTTGGGGATGTCACATTTTAAAGCTGTATTCAAGGGGAAGCCCTTGGACGTGTCCCTTTTGGCAGAGAGGAGGAAGGAAGAGGGTGAAGCTGGTGTGGAGCTGGGGAGGTTTTTTTTTGGGGGGGAGATGAGTTCCTCCCACCCCAGGATTTGAGGGAAGGTCCTGGGCTTTGGGGTGGTTGGTGATAAACTCATCCTGGAGCAGACAGACGTTGCTGGGATGGGGTGAGCCTGTGCTGGCAGGTCTGGGGGCAGAGTTTTGGGCTCCCTGCAGTGCATCTGCCTCTCCCTTTGTGAGCGTGGCCACCAATTCCCACCCAGTGCCAGTGGGATCCCCCTGGGCCAAAAAGGAGCCAGGCATCAGTGGGTGACTTGAAAAGCTCAGCAGCAGGTGGTACCTGGAATTAAATTGAAGTGAAAGTGGTGCTTAATAAGGGGATATTAATTAGATCCCCAGTGTTTTAGCCACCACAGTGTGCTTCCTAGGGGTTTGAACGTTGCTGCTGCCTAAAGAGCTGGAGAGCACAGTGTGGTTAATGCCACTGCAGGGTTGGGAGCAGGGTTTCCTCAGGAATGGAGCAGATGCCACACTGCAGCAGTGCCCAGGCTGCCAGGAATCCTGTCTCCAGCCATGGCCTGAGTGAGATTTCCCAGTTGCTTAGAGGGCTTTTTTTGGTTTAGTTTTCTCACCAGTTGGAGGTGAATAGTGGAGGAGGGGAGCCAGGAAGGAGCTCTGCCTGCACTGTGAGCCCCTGGTTGAGCCAATCCCAAAACCTTCCTGGGATTAATCTGAGTGTGAGGTTTGATTTTAGTGCTGGGGCTGGCACAACTCCCCTGCCAGGGTGTGCTGAGCCCAGTGACAGCACTTGCTGCCTCCCAAGCACCTTCCCTGGCAGTGCCAGCACATCTCAGACATAAAACAGCTCCGTGGCTTTCTGTGGGAAGGCAAAACTCTGTGTGCCCACAAGGGAGGGGGTGAAAGGGGAGGGGTTTGTGCCTCCAGCTGACCAGGGCAGCCACAGAGTGTTTCAAAACCAGTGCTCAGGTCAAAGGAAGGTGAGAATCACCCAAAGGTGCCTTCTCTTCAGATGAGGGCTGGCAGAGACTTCAGCCAGAGCCTTTATCACAGGATTGTGGAGTCCTGAAGGGTGGAAAAGAGCTCTAAGATCAACAAGTCCAACTGTCAACTCAGCACTCCCATGACCACTAAACCTTGTCCCCAAGGGCCACATCTAT